AAATTTTGATCTTGTTCCACGAAATATTTTCGACATAATAATCTTTATTTTATTTATACTACTAGTTGTAAGAATTTGTAGATTTATTTATGAGCTTTGTCTATTTATTTTTTTCAACTAGACAACTTATTGGTGTAATTATTAAACATCATTATTGACTTCTTTCATAGTTATAGGAATGATACTTCTCTTATAGACATTGCAAATACTTAACAATTATGTTTCAAGAGTATTGACAAACTCATGCAAATTTGCAATAGTTACAAATCTAATTTCACTCCTATCAAGTGTATCATTATAATTTTTTTGGTCCATCTCTATAATAAATGGTTTTAATACATCCACAAGTCAAGTTAAAGAAAGATATTTTTCACCTCTGATATCAAATAATTTTTTCATAAAAAGAATGATTCTACTCTCTTTAAGAAAGAATTAATTTTTAAAAATAAAAAATATTAGTTTAAAAATAGATGGATTTTTGTTAGATTTTAATGTAGCTAATAGATGAAAGAATATAATTTAGTATTCGGAAAATGATATGAAATTAGAATTCAGTTATAAATTATTAAAAGAAACATGATAATCATTTCAATATTATGTTAAGAAATAAAATTCAATTCTTTGATTCGTGAAGTCTAAGATATGTTTAAAAAATTAAAGCAATTTAAAATTATAAGGATGTTGGAAAAAAACATACCAATCTTCTAATACAATTTAGTGAATAAAATCAAAGTGAAATTTTTTTTTATTATTTACAATAAGGCTTAGTATATGATGCCAAAGATTTAAATAAGTGAATATATGTATATATATATATATATATATATATATATATAGAATTTAAAATTTTTAAATCTTTAAATTTAAAAATAAAAAAAAGACTAATAAGTATCTTTTGTATTTTAGATAGATTTGTATAAGATGTTAATAACAATAACTGATTTACTATCAATAACATACACTAGGATTCTAATTGTAAATGGTATTTTCTTAATCATTTTTTTTTCAAAAACTATAACATAATTTTTTTATATGTAGTTTATTTATTAATAAATCTTTAATATTATAGCTATTAGATATTTTATTTTTAAAGTTTTTAGAGATTAATCTTGTATACAATTGATTGTAAAATTTTGATTGAAAGCATTAGAATTTGAATTGAAGAAATTATAGTATTTTTAAATTTTTAAGTTGTAAAATATGAAGGTAGTAATATTTTTTCATTAAAAAAAGATAGAAATTTTATTATCTTGTATAAATTAATATTTTTCATAAAATTTCAGATTCAACTTATTATATAAAATATGTGCATTACATAAGCAATTCAATATAATTTTTGTTGTTGTCTAATAATTTTTTTTAATTCTTCAAAGTAATTTTTTATTCAAAAAAATTTCCTTAGATATTTTTTAATAAGTCAAATTTTATTTTCATGTTTTTTTTTATAAAATTTAACATTGAATATATATTTTTATAATTAAATAGTTAATAAGTTGAGAGAAATTTCTATTGCTATTTTGTTATAGTGTTTAAGAATTAAAAGAGCTAGTTGTAGAAAAAAATATCTTAGTATAAACTTTAACAATTTATTATATAAAAAATATATATATATACAAACAAAACCAAATTTTGAATAAAGTTTTAAATTTTTACTAAGAAAGTAATAGCATTATTATTGGTCTATTATTGTATGAGATAAAATTTGTTCAATTTATTTATAAAAAATTAATTATATGTAGTAGATAAAAGCTTATTTTGATGTACAAAAAAATAATTCATCAAAAAATATTGTCGTATATTAATTTTTAATAAAAATACTAAATTATTTTTAAAAACATTATATGTCATATGAATCAAATTAGAAATAGAATTTTTAAAATAATTATTAGGTATTTTTAAATTTCTAAAGTTAATATAAGATTCTAATAAATTTGGTGTAAAAATAAAGGAGTTATATTCTTCTAAAAAATTTGTAAAATAATGTGTCTTTCTAGAAAACTATGCAAAATCAAGAAGATTAAAACTACCAATTATGAAGTATTTATTGAGATATAAAATTCAATCCTACTAAAGAACTTTAGGTTTTTTTTTGTATAATCCTAATTACTACCAAATTTTTCAAATTTCTATTTAATAACTTATTAGATTTAAAAGAAATAGAATCTAAAGTACATAATTTGGATTAAAAATTAGATGGAACTTGAAGATTTTTTTCTTACAATTGTTTTAATAGATTCTAAAGAAAAATTATAATTTTGTGATTTTTAATTTATAAAAATAACTTCTATCTTAAAAAAAATATTCATCTAAGTATTTTTAACTTATAAAGATACTATAATAATAATAATTTATTTAGAGGAAAAATATTACTTTGAATGCATAATATTTTTGAGATTTCAAAAAGTATGAACACTTTTTTGTATTTTATCTAGTCATTATTACATATTTTTAAAATCTAAAAAAATAAAAAAATATATATTTTTCTAAAATTTATTGGTCTCTTATAGAAGAAGCATGTTACAAAATGATTTGTAATACTATAGAGCTAAAATATTTCATTTCTAAGACCACATGTTGTCAAATGTATAAGGCTGATAAACAACATACATTTTTAATATATTTGTAATATATTTTAATAGTGACCGTTTTAGAAAAAATAAGAAATTTTTATTTAGGAGTTTTATTTTTAATATAAAAAAATTAATTATAAAAAAATAATTTAATAAAAACATTCAAAAAATACATGATTTTTAAATCTAGATTATGCAAAGGATAAGGATAGTATAAAGGTTTTATAGCCATTTCTATTTGAATGTATAGAAATATTTTATAAACATTTATAATTAATTAAGATAATTTATATATATATATATATATATAATTTTTCTATTAAAAATTAGCAAGAAATTCATCCAAAATGTCCTTTAGCTTGAGACATATTTAAAAAGGCATAAGATGATTTTTTTTACACTACTAAAAAATAACTAATAATTAAAATTTTATAATATGATATTTTTTAAGACATCAAGATAATAGATAATTATCAAATATATTAATAATATTACCTTTATGCATATAGCTTCACTATCTATTATTAATAATTCAATTACCATCTTACAAAAATTTAGCAATGTTGTAGGCTTGAGATGAATTAGAGTAATCTCATTGAATAATACATAAGTTCTTAATCTAATATATTTAGGTGAATGATAAAGCAACACAAATTTTTACTAATGCGATCCACCCTATCTTAACCATCATTACATCCTTACAACCTCCATCCCTATTCCGAGTCGTTTTCCATTCCTAACCATTGCTAAGGACATGATCGAAGGGCTGGAAACATTAGAAATAGGGGCAATGGTTAGGAATAGAAGAATGGCTAGGAACGAGGATGGAGTTGAAAGGATACAATGATGGTTTAACATGGAGGTGGATTTAATAAAAATTTAGATCATTGCATTATTTTTCTATATTTAAATTTAGATTATATTTTAATATATTATTAAATATAAGCTAATTGAAGAATCCTCTTAAAATTTTAAAAATATCTCATTAAGCCTTTTCATTATATACTTCTCAAGTAAAAATATTCTTACACAATAAGAATTAAAAAGATATATAAAAAAAATCAGCATTAATAATCTATAAGATCTTTTTTTTAAATCAAGTATTATTTTGAAATTTATACTTTGTTATGATTATATAAATAAATTTGATATAATTCATAAAATACATCAAAATTCTTTAAAAGAAGAATGTAGAATGTACTTTGAATTTATTATAAATATATTGGCACAATAAAGTGGATTTTAATTGAACAAAGATGAAAAAATTAATTAAATTTAATAACTACCATTAAATAAGTTTAAAAAAAGAGATTTTAAAAATTAAGATATGATTCTATATGAACTTTAGAATAATATCCTATAACCATGTGTACTAAAGACTAAAATTACACCAAGATATAACTGAATGATTTTGAAAGTATAGCTATATATAAAGAGCTTAGGAATATATTCTCACTACTATCAACAATTGTTAGCAAGAAGTGCAAAATCTCTCTTACCATAATCCTAATCGAAAACATTGTTTATTCTGTCAAAATCTCTCAGAAAGACTTCAATCACTAATGTAACTTCTAACATAAGCTCACACTTAAAGTAGCACCATTTTTCCTTTTTATAGATTATGTAACGTTTTTATAGCAATAGACCTACTCTAGTTGTTTTAAAGCATATATATATATATATATATATATATATATATTAACAACACTCTATCTCTCTAGGAAACATATCTCCAATCGTTAAAGACTGAATTCATCACACCAGCAGAAGCAATAAAACAACAGCGCTATCTTGACCACATCAAACTCATAATCCACGCAGTTGCATACTTTCAAGCATTTTGGAGAACACTTCATCAAGCAGAACTAAGCAGGCCCCACTTTGATTTGTGCAGCTGATTGGGAGAACTCATGCGGTAAGATTTCACACTGGTGGGTGAAGCGTAACAGCAAGCATCTGCAAAGCATGGTGGCGTTCCTTTCAACACCATTTTGCTTACGAGATTTCCCTGCAGAAACTTCTTCAGTCCACTGTGAACTTTTGGTTTTTGGACGAGCTTTTCTGTCTATTGGTTCCACATTGTTGCTTTTGAGTACTGTATAGTAAAGTTGTACCTCCTCCTCCTCGACTCCGGTATCACCAGAACCACTATCTGTGTGATGGTTCTCACTGTAGAAACGGCGACAAACTAATTGAGATCCTTACTTGTCGGTGCCTGATGGAGGTGCTTCGTCACCCACGCTTGGATCGTTCAATCAGGTTACATGTTCTAGTGAACAAAGTGGATAATAATGCCGATGCAGCGTTGGTTCGGTTGATGCTGGTGTATGAAATGCCAGGGACCTCCTTACATGTTTCATAACAGGATCTAAATCCTGCCAGAGTGGTGAACTATTGCCAAGCTGGTGTGCGTGATGTGAAGCCCTTGCGAAGTTTCATGAATGTAGTTTATTGAAAAGCATCAAAATAAGAAATGAAAACTTCTAACATTTACAAGCTTTAGAGATGACCACTTTCAATCGGTGCAGTGCAGCGCAGCTCTGATTCGAAAATCGTCTAGGCTACCAGTTTACTTGCAAGAAGATTGCTGCAATCCTCTCGGACTCATTTAATGTACAGATTCATGCCGGTGGAGGTTCTGCAAGGGATTGACAGTGACTAATTATTGTCGTTGTTTTGACCAGTTATGGTGTTAAAGAGAAATTTGCCGGCCTCTGCTCCGATCCTGTTCTTGGCCTGATCAGCTAAGTCGCGTGCAGCGCTCGATGCCTGGCTTTGAGTGGCATTTTTCGCCGCGTCAATCGCAGCGTTCTGGACCATCTTGTCTGCATCGAATCCTGGAATGTTTTTCGACAGAGACTTCACGGTTTCGAAAACGCCGCTTGCTTGGTTGCTGTCTCCTTCTTTTGAAATGTCAGCTGCCACTGTTTGAGCGGCACTCTTTGCCACGTCTACGGCGGCGTTTTTGGCCTGCTCGATATCTCCCAAGCTGGGTATCTTCCCGACGAGGTCTTTCACACTGTCCAGGAGGGCATCGGTCTTGTTCTCGCTGTTCTCGGATGCAAAGTCTCGTGCAGCGTTTGTAGCTACTCGTTTCGCGACTTGTTTGGCAACCTCTACGGCGGAGTTCCCGTCCTGGTCGCCATTAGAACTGGGAATGTTGCTGGATAGCTCCTTCACATTGTCAGTAATGCTATTCAGATCCAGCGCTATGGCCTCACCACTGGAGTTGGGAAAAGGGGTGGAACCAAGTGTGAGTGCTCCTCCGGCAGCTACAAGAGCTATCAAAATCTTGGACCTGACTGGGACATGCTCCTGAAAAATCAAATTGCATCTCCGATTCAGCGCATTCTTTCAAGAGAGCTCCTCCAATTCCTCACTGTCAATCCTGCTGCAACCCATGCAACTACACACAATCAGATCTAACAGGAATGGAAATATTCTCACCCCAGAGTTGTGGCTGGCTCTGACTACCACGATTCTGGAAGCACTCAAGCTGGTATTTGTGCGCTTGATGCCCAATTGCTGAACTCTGGCCGAGTTAAAGCCAGATGTGGAGAAGGGAGACGACAAAGGACCCGCCACAGCAGATCCTGACGCTGCCATCGCTGCAGACATGGCCGCCATTGTAATCACCGCTGCACAGAAAACTCTCGAACAAAAGAGATACTAAATATTGCAATAAATTTAGTACTCCAAATAGATGAATCGGTTGGAGAAGATCACTGCATACTGAGAACACAACCATGACTATTGTCCCATGTACTGATATACGCACTCGACACGAGCTGCTCAACATTGGAGCATCTTTAGGAGAGACTGATGTGAGAAACTGAGCGGCTGGTGGCCATCTAACCTCTCCACTTGGCGAAAAAGTGTAGACTAGCTCAGAGATCCTTGGCACAGCTGCATGAGTCACATAGCAGCCACGCACACGCCGCTAGGAAACTTAATTACACTGTAACCCCACTCTCTTGTATGCAATACAAAGTGTGGAGCAAACATTTCTGTGACACGAAGAGTGCTAGAATTCGTAGCTGGTAACCAAAAATTCCCGATCGATGATTCACCATCCGATCCAGCACCCACATACCAACAATTGCTGCCGTTTCTTCCTCGGATAGTGACGTGGACGTTTGCAACTACGCTCGTCGCTCGTGGTGATGACTTCTCAATTACAATGTGATGAAACTATGCTACAATATGTGTAGAAGATGCGCTTTCTGCGAGACTTAGCTGGGTACCCAGCACCCAGCGAAATTTTGTGGGGTGCTTTTGGAAGGTGATTGCTCATCTCATGCTTTACAAGTGTTCGTTTGCCATGGAGCTCACTGACACTGCCCCCCATTGGATGTAAAAGAGATACCTCGGGCATGCAGTAATTTATTCATCTAATTGTTTTCACCTATCCAGTCTTTCACCTATCTTTCTTTTCATCGCTAGTATTTTTTGTTCCTCCCCTGCTTAGTTTACTCAACATCATTGCGATTCAAATTTAACAAATCAAGCGTGAATTCAATTTTTTTGCAGCAATTTATGGATAGTTTTGATTTTTACTGCTGATCGTTACTTTGAGATCCAATACTAAGAATGATGGTTCCTAAGTTCTCGAATAAAATGTTGTAGGTTGTAATTTCCGGAGTTATAATCATTTTAAATTGTATTCCTACTGACTAGATTACCATGAAAAATTATGCATTTATTCAGAAAGGTATGTAGAGATTCCTGCTTAAGGATATGTATGCAGAGATTCCTGCTTAAGGATATGTATGTAGAGTGCATCACATCATGTGTAAGGTTGGGTGCTGACATTCATTGTGAATGGTCAAGATGAAAGATAAACGAGAACCATTTTTCGTCCTGGGTCATGTAAATTTACCTTGTTTTCCATGTCAAACACTTGGAGTTTTTATAGCTCTCTTGAGAAAAAAAAAAAAAAAAAAAAAAACGCAATAGGATATATTTTAAAGGTGATTTACGTGAGCAACTACAATCAAACTTGATACATGTATGTTTGAATCCGAATTTGGATTCCATCGTGCAGGAATCTCTGCAGAAAGGTAACATATAAGATCATGACGTCAGTCATGGAAGCTATAATGCGTACCCAACTGAACAATACTAATGTTAATAAGTTGCCAATGACGTTACAATGCCTGCGACGTTACATACAAATTAATATGTGCAAACCACTCACAACACGACGAGAACCAGATGTCTAACTCTCTTCCTGATAGTACTGTCCTTGATAATAACCCCTAATTTTTGAATTCCTTAACTAAAACTGTGCACTCCATTTGCGATGAATACAAAGAGTCGGGAGCTGAAAAATTGTACAGATGCGAGGATCAGGTGGTAGCTGCCTCCGAAGACTGCAGATTTTCAACTCTGGAAATGCCAAAAATACAGTGAGCATCGAACTAAGTGCAATTAAGCAAGTTTCCAAGTCAAATTAAGAACGTGACCAGAATAACAATCAACAAGCAACTCTAGTAGACACATAAGTACATTCATCTGAGAACCTAAAAAACGAAAAAAACACAAAGCCAAACACGATAACAAAAAGAAAAAACCTCAAACTTCAAGTTACCAACATTCGAACACTACTCAGCATACCCAAGTTCAAGAACCCAGTAACGTCCAATAAATCATCAATAAGGCAGGCCACAAACTTCATGACTAAAACAATTATGAAAGAACAGGCAACATCTAGCGGCACTGACCTCTCCAATTCGTCGCCGTCAACCAATTCATCTTTCTGGACAGCAGTGACATTGATAGCAACCTTCACGACATGACCATTTTCGCTGTAGTTATGCTCCAGAGGCCTTCCTTCGGACTCTGCACCAGCCAATGTAATCAAACCACCATGATCGACGTCTTGTTTGTGCAAATCAGTTCCTGATGATACCTCTGGAGTCTCCGCAGGGTCACTGATATCATGCATGCTTGAATTTGTATGGATTTCTTCCACAGCTTCCTCAAATACATCACCGCTATCAGCACCAGAATCCTTCTCTACATCGGCGTCAGCATGTCCAGAAGTGACCTCACCATCAGCAGCAAGACTAGCCAGGCCTTCTTTCAGGTTCGCGGATCCTTCCACATTGTCACCTTCAACATCCAGTCCATGTCCCTCAAGAGAATTTGATCCGTGTAGATGTACTAGTGGCTCAACATCCCTCTGGGACTTTTCAGCTTCGCCTGGCAAAGAGCTATCCCAAATATCATCGTCGTCATGTTTGTGGAGAGAAACGGCAGAAGTTTCTTCGGCGCCGGATTGAATAACAGGCGCACTCTCGAAAGAGTCCCACATGTCATCTTCGTCTTCAAATTCTGACGGGAACGTCTCCGGCACTCTAGATGTAGATGGAGATGCAACCGAATTAGAAAGAGAAGAGACTGAAGAATCTTCTTCCAACTTCTCTTTTTCTACCGTCCTGTTTGCTGAATCGACTAAACTGTCTGCAGTATCATCTCCAGTTTTCTGTGCTGGCATTGCTTCCTTCACATCTTCGTCAACAAGGTCTGTTGAAGTGGAAGTAGAGGGATGAGGAGAGCTCGCCTGTGGTTCACTTGCTTCTCTCTCTGTTTGATCTTCTACAGGTTGCATTGAAGAATCGGCAGGACTTTCCTCATTACCTTCATGTGCCTGAAAGTCATCCCAGTCGTCGTCGACTTCGTCATCATCATCAAAATCGAGGGATGCCTGGGAAGTTAAAGCGGTTGAGCTTGTCCGAACAATAAACTGGGCTGACGCTGGAGGAGGAGGAAGAAACCCAGAGGAAGGTGGCGGCAGAACAGGCTTTGGTATGGATGCAGGTGGGAGGGCTGTAGGAAACGACGGATTTGCACTATCATGCTGTGCCATTGATGCTCGAATGATAGACTGCATCATAAATCAACTTTCCATGAGACAAATATACTAATAAACAGTCACAAGTTCCAGCTTCGCTCATTCAAGACGTTGCTGAAAATACAGGATGCATCCAAACCAACTAACTAAAAGCTTTAAATAATCGCCTCTGCAAAGGATCTTGTTGAAGAATATTACACAAACTAGAGTATTTTTTCAAAAAAGTTCGAAGAGGATAGAATGTCAAAGAGCCAGACCTGAAGCTGTTGACGAGACTCTGCCGGCATGTCAAGGAGCACTTTGCGAAATTGCGTGGCTGTAGATGGTACTGAAGCTAAGTGCGTGACAAGCTTCACTGCAGCATTTATCAAAGCAAGAGCTGCCTGCATCATATAACACAAGCAAGTTATCACAAAAAAAACAGAAAAGAAAAAGATGAAACTGACAGACAGAATAGTCCTTATTAGTTCTAAGCAATCAATAGGTCTGGGGAGACTTGGTTAATAATAGCTTCCTCGAAAGGAATCGCATAGATGGTGACAGCACCAGACTGCTAATACTTATGCCTGTAATGGTCGTTCCCAAGGCGGCCAGATCCAATCAAATAGAAATAAAAAAGGAGCCTGCATGCTAAGTAGACTTTACGATCTATGCATCGTATATATCGAGGGGCTGAGGTGGATCGGACCTGATAACAAGAATATACCTGATTTTCCTTCCCATCAACAGAGGCAGCAGCTATTATGGCTGGAAGTAAAACATGCAAGACTTCCAATTGAGCCTCCTCGCCATCTACCAATGAGTGGAGCAATACGAGCAACTTCAAAGCTTCCCCAACTAAGCCTGCTGCTGCAGAGGTCATAGTATCCTACATCACCCACAGCACCATTACTGTAAGCTTAAATCAAAGTCACGGGGACTGGGAGAAATGAGAGTAAGACCGGTGAAAGTTGTTCAGTGACTGAGCCTTCATACCACAGCAAGTGAATACGCAACACAAGAATGCACTACGCCGTTTTGCATCGTGTAAACCATTGACATGGTTTAACACAACTATTAGGCATTCTGAAGCTTCCAAATGCTGCAAGTTATTCCCAATTACTAAATTGATATCTATGATTTCTAAGAAGATTCTAATCAAGCTTTCAAACAATTTCCGAACGCTTTAATTACCTTGCTTTCCTTGTAGATGACTGCAATGACATCAGAAGACAACTTGTGCAAGAGGAGCAGCGCCCATGCAAACTTTTCTCCCCTGGGATGCTCAGCTGACCCTGCTTGTGCCACAGTCCTCAGGGTTTGAAGACCAGCCAACTGAATCTGATACATTAAAAAACATGAATTAGTAGGGTAGTTATATTACACTTCAAATCAGGTCATGGTTGAAGAGAATTAGAAAGCCTATTCGCCAAAGAAGAACTAGCTTTACATTCCATGTTGCTCAAGTGATAGAAAATTCAATCTCATACTGCTGCTGAAACAAGAACAAATAACCCATAATCAAACCACTCAATTTAACAGAGAACACTAGCATTCTACATACAAGGAACGTATCCTTACGGTCGGATGAGTAATTGAAAGAGAAGACTGAAGACAGGATAAACAACGAGCTTGCGACCCCTGCTTGAATTCTGCAACATCAGGAACAGATTTGGCCATGGCTACCATAACTCCAAGAACCAGAAGAACACGCTTAGATAAAACTTGATCATCAATCTTGCTTGCAATGGTCACGTTAGTCTCAAAAACCCGTGCCAAGCTCTCTACAGAAGATGCTAGCACAGAAGCTCGCTCTTCTTTCCCAAACCCGCCACTGGAACCTGCATCTGAACAATACAGAAAAATTACTTACAGAAGACGATAACATCATCTGCTCGAATCGTAGCTCTAATTAAACAATCTACTCTATTATCAACAGGCATTGTACTATTTTTATTTAATTGCATAGTTAACATATGATTTATGACAATAATTTCTGCGCAATAACAATGCAATGAAGTTGTAAAATGCACTAAATAAACCTCAAAAGCTTGGGTGTCTGATAAAATAAATCCTTAACCAAGTACTCATACATTCATGAATCCTTGTGTACCTTCTGAGAACTTCGAAGTAGCGTTGGTGACAGTTGTAATGAAAGTGACAGAAGCAGAAGCAGAATTGCCTGAAGCCTCACTCAAGACTTTGATGCCAGCCGAAAGGAACTGAGGCAGCAATAATTGTTGACACTGCGCAGGTAAAAAAACCGGCACTTTTCTACAATCAAAATTAAATGAGGAATACAATAAGATCTTAAGATTTAAAGTTGACATTGTCATTCATGGTTATACATCCAGTAGATCAATGATCGAAAACCTACTCCTCGAACAATGTCACTGAGATATATAGTCCAGATGTAGAGAAATATAAGAAGGCTTCAAGGCTTGTTAATAAATCCAAGTAGACAAGGTTCACCCGTCAAACTACTCCTCAAAGAGGATTTATCAGCACAAATTATAAGGTTGGAGAAGCGACATCAACGTTATGCAAATATTCGAAGTAAAAGTTTTGAGTAATTCGAGTATATGAAGCAGCCAATAGCAAGAAGAAATGATATGGAAGGTTTCCACAAAAAAATGAGTACCTCTTCGCTTAAACGACAAGTCAGACTTGAAGCAGCTCGTAGGGCAAAGCAGACTAGTGCATCGGTTTCAGAGCTATTCCACATTTGATTTGAATTACTAAATCAAAACCAAGAAAAAAAAGACTAAGAACTGCAATATCAAAATTTGGGTAATTATACAAACTAAGCCAATCCAAGCTACATGAGTTCATTATATTTTCAATGCCGTACAAAAATTGAATGACAAGAACAAGGAATGCTCCAGTTACTGCTAATTCAACCATACCTCAAAAGGATCTCAAGTAGGCAACTTCATAAAGATAAATGAGTCAAAACGCAAACCTCTCTTGAAGTTGATGCATATAACCAAGACACAACTCCGCAACTTTTAGCACTAGGGATTTTTCCTCCATATACACGTCAGGCGATGAATTGATAATCTGCCAAGACAATTAACAGCATTGCAAAATTTAGCCATGCTATCATATGGGCACTTTGCCACACGTGAAGAATAGTGAACTGGTATTAATGTCAAACTTGACAATATCTGGAGTTATACTGCGAATTACGCACCTGTTCCACGATGTACACAATTGCACCAGGGACCCAAGGATAGTTATTAAGCCGAGGGGCCAGCAGTAACTGATCACATCAAATAGAGAATGTCGGTTAGCTTCCTATTCAGTCGAGAAAGATAAACGCACATTAAGAGGATAAGATTGTGTTTTCTATACACAAAAAAAGCACCAGAAATGACTGAAACCACAATTCTCGAAATTCAACTACCAAGAGCACTCGCGTGAATACTAGCGCAAAGCTATAAGTGAGCACTGCACAATTTAAATTAACTCAGTTTAGATTACAAGTAAATGAACTTCACCTGCAAAAGCTCCTGGCAAAGTTCAACAGAGAGCATGCCAGGCCTGTAGAAGCCCTTTGCACATAAAGCTCCAAGTGCGCTTAGTGCAACTAACTGATGGTTTGAAGTTGGACTACTGCTGAGAATGCGTCGATTAAATGAGGGAAAACTGGTGATGGAGCGTCCCAAATTCGGACCCTGACGTTCGTCGGCTGATATGATTAGGATTGCTAATGCCCACACTTGCTTGAATTCATCACCGTTGATTTCTATACCCGTAACTGGAGGAGCCTTTTCATCACCTTGTGATACAGGAGCAACATCTATGGTTACAGCTTCTAGAACCACTGGCCAGCACTCTGCCAGATGAGGGAGTACCACTTCTGCAACTGCAGCCAATTGAACTCCATCCAAGAAGGGTTCATAGCGAGGCTGCAAGTCAAAAACCACAAATTACGCTCTATTGGAATAGAAAGAGTTAAAAACACACAAGCTTCAACACACAAATGAAAAGAAATTACAGCCTTGAGATAGTTCTGGATTCTATGGTACTGCAGGTTATGGTAACATGGTATATCAAAAGGAGGAAACGGGTGTTATAGTTGTAACTTTAACAGAACAGGACCCAGAACATAAAACAAGTAAATAAATAAATAAACTACTTACGCAGGAGGCATTAGAAAAACACAAATAATACAAACCTTCCCCGAATCATGATAAATCATGAGTTTGAGGCATTGCAAATTTGAAAATCGGCAAACTACTGCCCTTTTGTTCTAATCAAATCCACTGTTTCAGTACTGATACACGGTAACTTATCTGCAACTAGACGATTCATAAAAATATACCTGCATCTTGGTAGCCCACTGCGTACGAATTGATATGTAATCCCTTAGTAACCCAATCCAGCACCGACCAAGCAATTGCGTGTGAGGAGCCAAGAGAGGAAGGAGTACAAAGCTATCAGGAGCTTTTGGGGGGCCTTCTTTGGAGCATGCAAATGCATATGTCTTCACAGCGGCATGAGCTCCTAATATACTCACTTGTAACTATCACAAAAAAAATTCCAACGAACCCACAAAGTCACATAACTAAACCCATTAACCACTCAAAGCCACCTACTTCATAAGATAATACAATGAGGATCCAATCGAATATAATCAATCGTCACTGCAGAACAAACTGACTCGAGAATACAAATCCTACCTAAACATTTATAAATACTGAGTCTGCACTGCAACCTTGCAAAGCCAAATGCCAGGTCAAACTTGGCCTGAAACAGGTAATCAAATTAAAACTACAAATAGACAGGGACAGGAATAGTGACTGGCACCTTACACCCAACCCACTCTGCATAGGATGGTATCCGAAGATCAGCCCATTTGGCCAATGGCCGAGAGATCAGAGCAACCACACGCTGCAGAACACCCCGGTCTCCGCCAGCAACTCCACTGGTAATTATCTGTCGAAAAGAAATCATCAAACTAAGTAATCAAATCTCAGCGCCTCAAAGATGTTAAGAAACGAGGCTGTGTTGTCATTCTCAACCAAAAGCACACATAAATCACAGTTTGCATCAGAAGCACTCAACCATCACAAAAGTAGAGCTCTGCAAGAAAAAAAATTAAAAACCTACATTAACTTACAAATAAATAAACATACAGCGCAGCTTACCCTAGCAGCCAGTCTTGATCCCACAGACATAAGAAGTGGACCAGCAGAAGGTTCAAGAGCGGTACGGACAGCTGACACCAGTTGTGCCTGATATAAGAGTGCACGATTAGTTCACTAATGCACAGTTTCATAAAATGTCTTAACAAGTCTCATACACACATTCGGACAGCACGTGTAAACTAGCGAAAAAAGTATACGGTTTAGAAAGAGACACTATGAACACTGTCAGTTATTATGGTGTTAACCTGGTACTGTTCGAGCAGAAGGTGTCCCTCAAATTCGGGATCGGCAGTTTTTCCAAACTGCACAACAAGCTCAAATTTTTCAGTAATTTCACAAGTACCAGCTAGTTCTTCCGCTCTTAATGAGACCATAAATATCGGCAGAAGATTTCAGAAATCATGTAAGGCCTCTGCAATCGCATGAAGTTATCGAAGAGAGTCATGGTGCACAACGCACAAGAACGAAAGATGATGCTCAACTGTACTCCCTATCCAATAGAAGCGTTTCCTTTTATCAAAGCAAAACTGGAGATAACTAAGAGCGATGGTAACAACATTCACAGCTCCCGAAGTCAATGTTTACCTTATCAAGAATGGTATCCAACAGCTCTACACCCATTGGCCTTACACTCTCTAGACTTCCAGTGGCAACCTGCAATAAGAGAGAGAGCAATGGATCATTACTCAGTTCAAGTTCGTTCACTCAAGGATAACATCTATGTTCACATTACATACAACAATACAAGAATCAAGAGATTTAATTGAAAACTAACAGCACAAACGTAATTCTTACTTGATAGGCTAGAGCAACCAACTCCCCAAGGTGGAGAACCAGCCAATGTCCACCCGTTTGCTCTTTGGCAATCACGAGATCAAAATGAGCAGGATTCCCTCCAACAGCAATCGGTAGCCGGCTCAAACACCTGAGCATACAGTATATCCACAAAACATTTGAGCAATTTTCTGAATAATAGACATCTAATAGATAGTATTATTCCAACATAGATGCACACACAAGAAATAGCGGTTGTATGCGTCTATCAGTATAGACGACATTCTGTATTTTCAACAGTGGCGAGATGCATACTCTGCAGCGAAGAGACGAGTTTTGTAGCGCGGCAAGTTTGCTTCCACCCCTTTGCTTTCACTTTTCTTCGTCTCTTTCCCAGCCGCATTGTTCACTATCATACCTTCATCATCTTCACCCATGGGCATGTCATCCAAAGGAGTGATATCTAAGCGACCGCTAGTAGATGCCTCATACTCCAGGAACCCAGATGCTGCATGCTTGGTAGCTGCAGTTGCTAGTACCTACATGGACCAGATCTTAGTATTGCTCGGTTACTCAAACGAGCCCATTGGATGAGCACGGTCGAGAGACGCTGAAATTTTAGTTCAAAATGTAGGTCTGAACTGCTACGTATACCACCAATTAAAATAGATCATGAAGTAAATCATTCGTTTCAATAAAATACAGAGGAGTCTCAGATAAGAAAACGACATTTCCCAAAATCTCATAACCAAACCCTCGGGTTTAGTGCGTGCTGCCAATAATAATATATTAAGATCGAAACAGATCTGCCGTAAACAAATAAGAGCGAACACTACTCATGCATAATCCTCATAGCCTCCGACGAAAACGAACAGAAACCTGCATAGTCTAAGTGCAACCAAGAAATATAGTTGTGAGAGACAAGTAGTTACCACATTGCGACATAAATGTAACCACCGTGACGGAAAAGAAGGACAAGCAGCCTCCAGTAATCTCTGTAACGTTTGGCGTACGCTCCGAATAATTCTAAAGCGTCAAGGGCCAGTAGTAAGTGAAGTGATCAAAATGAGATGAAACAAAACAATATGCGAAGGATTCGATAGGCAAGATAGAAACTTAGCAACCTTTCATCAGTTTCCGAATCCAGCATTGCGAAGAGATCTTCCTCGATATGTTCTTCTACTAAAGAAACCTGCACAAAAGAATATTAAAGTCAATAATTGATCCTGTAAACAATCCTGGTTATGTAATGAGTATAGGATTATGTATTGTTCAAAACCTGTAGATCCGTCTACTTCATCAATCATATTATACAGGTGAAACACGGGGTATGAATTACTAACTGAATCTCGTTCTACAAGATGCCTGAGGGTAGCAACCGCAGCTTGCCGAAGAGTTGGCTGCATTCATGAAGCAACATATATTGTTATAAGTACCAAAACAAGATACTCAAAAGAGCATGAAGAAATTGAATGGGTCATAACTTGTGTAGGGCAGACAGAATATTACATGATACAATGCAAAGAATTTTAATAAAAGCTGCAGCTTCGATTGATAATAGCGAAAACTTAAAGACAGCTTCCAGAGAGCACGAGAAAGTACACAAAACCATCACCCCAGCTGCTTCGAAACGTAAGAAATCACAGAGGTCCTAAAAAGAAAGCATCAACACGGTAGAAATAAATTTCAAGACTAAAAAACTTATTGGGAGTTACTAAAATAGAAATGGCTGCATGTGACCTTCAAGCTTAAATAAAACTTACTTGTCTAGATGATAATGTAGGGCGAAGCGTCTGCACATGCGAACTAACAGATACAGCTTGTGGCGCAAAAAGTGCCAATTGCTGCGTGAACCTCACACACCTGTCACAACATACATCCGCAGCGTAACAAAATTGGATAAAATTTTCGGTGTAAATATCATATCAAATGCATGTGAAGAATATCTGCTTTGGAGATCGGAAGAAACTTACTCTAGTAATGCTGCCGGCATTTCTCCAGTGTTTATTTCAGCAACTACAGACTGCACGAAATCAAATTCTACCTCATTAGTTAAATAGAAAACTAAATCTTGCCAAAAAGTAGCTGACAGAAATGATTTAGGTAAAGGAAATTTCAAACCAGCGGAGCATTTCATAATACCATGATACAGTCATAAACAGTTTTTAGCCTGCAACTGTTAGCTAAATACATTGGGCAGTAGATACAAAATAGCAAAAGTCTAAGTTGAATCACTTAGTCATCTAATTGTGATTAATCCTGAAGCTAGAATATCGTTATCGCTCGGCATGCTAATCACATTCTGCAAGCAGGTAACCAACAACTTTACCTTGCATCGCATGAAGAATGAACTGATAGGTGATAGCTCGGGTCCAAGCACAGCCACAATTGCATTAATGAGGCGGCCAACGCTTTGTCCTAGCTCCGGTGATGCATGCTCGTCAGAGAGAAGGAGTTCCATCACGACTGACAGCGTCGCCTAATTTTACCACAAATTTCAAAGACCAATGCGGCTTCAGCTCAGTTTAGGCCAATCCATCAAAGAAACACGCTTGAAATGATGTATACTTTTAACACCCGAACATAGGTTAATCAACTTGCCGTAGCTTGAGCAACTTCCAGACAGTTGCTCTTCAGCTGAAGACAAGCGTGAACTTCCTACCTGGACATGCGGAACATATGACAAGCCAGCAGCTTCTGCAGTAAGCCAAAGGCCATGAAGGGACCATATATGCAGAGCATCTGTGGGATCCTTGGCTAAGGCACACAAGACTTGCACGGTTGAAGGAACCAGAGCAGAGAGGGCCATTCCACCAACACTGCAACCCGTGCACAATTGTCATCAACAAATCTTGGCTTCACATTGAGCTAGCTTACGCAGCAAGTATAATGCCAAAAAAAGCAGTGAGAATCAATTACTAAGGTAAAACACTACCAGTGCAAATTTTCGTTCCGATTAATAGATGCACAGATACTTAACGTGCTATCCTCTCTTGGCACAAGATATACAATCAATGCTCATCAGCCATGACCGAAGCAAGAATACGAACAAGAATTACAACTGCTTAAACTGCTACACAAGAAGTACCTCCTGTGAATACACCCTAACGCAAGTGCTAGTGAACCTTTCTGAGTTGCAGTCTGAGCACTAATTGCATTCGTTAGTAACAATCGTGCCTGCACCACATGTCGACGAAGATAAGAAAGAATCTGAAAATATATAGACCGTGTCATATACATAAGCCATTAGTTGATCAAGATGTTAACCAAACTAAAAATAATAATAATAATTTAATTTTAAAAGAGGATGTCGAGATACAAACCAGGATAACTGAAAATTCAATAACAAGGTATCTAGACAAAACGTATACCAAGCGGGCTGCATAACTATCACTGCCCAGACGTGCCAATACACCCAAACTCTCAGAAGCGGCGCGGCGCTCGGCAGAGGAAATGCTGTCGTCTGCCAGAATTCCCTGTTCCAAAAACATTCCAAGTAAGCATCGTACCAGAAGAAAATGACAAATCACCACTTTCGATTGTATTTCTCCACTTTCGATCAGCTCATTCGCAATTGTCATCATACCTCAGCACTAACATACGAGTTAAGTTTATCATATCGAATTCCATGATGCCCTTATGAAATGGAAGACAAAACTCTTAAGTGTACTAGAAGAGGCATAGTAGCATACCAATAGAATTTCTTGAACCTGCCGCAATGCCTCAGCATCTACTCCTTGACCTCGCACACCCAAAGATGCCTTCATGGAGAACAACACCAATGATACACATAAAGTACAATTTACACCGTCCGAAAGGTACTAACCCCAATATGCACTCCAATAGATTGCAGAAGCAAATGAAACAAATTATCGTGATCTCATTCATGGATTGTAGCCAGTATTCACGTATGTACCTTTAAGCCTCCTAACAGAGCAACACACACGTTGGTTGTAAAAGAAGCTTTCCATCCTTGTTTCTTTCCAGCGGTTCTATTCCCCATTAAGTCCAGCAGCTGTAACTTGTTCTTCACAGGCTGCGAAAGGAATTCCACTCCCTATATTTGTAGAAAGGCAAAAATAATATACAATAAGAAAATAATGAAGGAAGTAAGAATAAGAAAATTGTGCGCCCTTGCGTTGGTGTAGTGGAAAAGAAAGTTGTGACAAAAAACTCATGGTAACGGACACTAAAACACAAGAGGGACAGTCATTGCAAGGCAACGCCAAAAAGGTACCCAAGTAAGCAATGTTCAAAGTTGTGAAGAATACCTGGGCTGCAAAAACGTTACCAAAGCAGAGCAGCATGTCATTGACAAGTAATGTAGCCAGTGGAAGCGGCTGAAAGAATACACACAAATGGTAAGGTTATCAAAGAACAAAGACTCCGAGCCTGTATTCATATAACAAGAGAAACAAATGTGTTCACAAAGTGACTTTGATGAACGACAGAGCACAGCACAGCCACAACTAGCTAGAAGACAAACTTTCTAAAGAACATCCACTTACTTGTGCAAAAGCCGGTACTTCAATGTCCCAAACACATGGAGAAAATCCATCTGCAGCGCCCTCGAATGCGCGCAACTCGTCCTCAAAAAAATCCCTACAAAATCAAGGGTGAATTCTTCAGACAACACTCCACCAAATCCATGATATAGACAGGAAATAAACAGTATTGAAGGTGTGTTTAAGGCAGGTAACGAAGAGACACAAATAGTAACGATGAAGGATAAATAAAACTTGTTAAGAATGACAACCTGCCAGGTACCCAAGGTCCAAGAGAAGCGTCACCAGTATCCAACAGCTGCCTCAAACACGAACTGGCTCCATATTTCTCAGGCTCCCTGTATCAAGGAGAAAACGATTATTTCTTGTCACGTTACACGAATTAAGAGAAAGCAATTAGCAGCATTCGAAAGATAAGAGAGAAAAGCACAAAGTTAAAGTGATTTGAACCTCACGATCCATTAGCAGCAAATTGGTTGAACAAAATACACATTTTACAGATTTGCTACAGGCCCACAGGTACGTCTGGCATTTGGACAACTAACTAAATACACTGGAATACCTAGGCAGAATGTCTATTGCACATAGATAGTTTTCTCCAGAGCCTAAGCAGAAAAGCACACCTGAAAGGCAAAGAGCAGATTCCCAAAAGCTCAACATGGTCATCTCTATATACAAGTGGATCTGGAAGAGCTTGATAAGCTCTAAGAATCCTAATAGTAAACAAATCAATGGCAGACTTCAAAGTCAACGGTGCCTGCTGCAAGGCTGGGAAGGCCAAGTATTTCAGCGCACTGTAAAAAAAGAAGCATCAAAATGGCAATAAGGTTAGCAACAGACACTATCACCTAAAATAGGATAGATCAACACATGATATAAATCTTAGAACAAATTGCCACCAAAAAAAGAAAAAAAAAAAAAAAAAGAATCATCACACACATGGTGTAATAATTGCCAGGAACAACTAGTACTTCAGTTCGTACCCTGCCTGCACAATTATGAATGTTACATTCAGCTAAACAATATAATGTGGCAGGCTGGGAGTACCTAGATAAATAGGCGATAATGGGTTGCAAAAGAAACTCTTTATCATTCACTGCAGAGCTGGGCACTACGTAGCTCTTCACAAACGCTGTTAATGCTTCGGCTGCTGCAGACCAGGAACTACAGGTTGCCATTCCACAAATCAGACAGACTCAAGACGCCTCTAAACATACCTGAGACAATTTCATTGACCTTTAACATTGTCCAAACCTTATAAGATAAATTCAAGTATAATTCAACTAGCTTATTAGCTTCCACGATTACAGAAATAAACCGACAAATAGACTCCGTAAAATTTAGACAATTTAGTTGCATTAAAAACCATAGGTGTTGCTTACCGCAAGTGCGCAGGAAGGTTTCTCTCAGCTTGATTTAGCTGATCACGATGATTCCCTCCAAATTCAGTAGCCCATAGTGCAATCAATTCCCACTCTTGCTCTTCTAGTTCCTGGAAAACACAAGATAGTACGCAAATTCTAAGACTATAATCCTCAGCTGCTGACTTTTCGTCCAGGGCTTCATGAGTTCCTCCAAGGTTCGAAGATAACCAAGCATGCCGTCATTGAGCTGACTTACGAAAATTTCAGAACACATGTAACCAGTTCTAGACAACTTCAAACAGTCTCATCATATCTTCCTGCACCTGTTTGGGCATGGACGATACTAACGCCCCAATCAACATCCAGCCAGCCTCTTTTTCTGCAGGTGCTGATAAAGACTTGGCACTTTGCTGCGAAACCATCTTTTTGGCAACCTCAAGGATTGCTGAAGGTAGCCTGCAAAACAAGAACCAAACCATGAACTTTTCTCTTACAGATTGTATAAAAATTGTACAAGTGTTATGACTAATGCGGCTAATATTTCTATGAACAATAGAAAATTCTAATCATCGCAAGCTTAGCTAAAAACATTGATAGAAGAGACTTGTCACCTGAAAGGCACTCCAAGTGGTAATCTTGGACATACAGCAAGCAGTGCAGCTAACATGGCTGCTTGTCCATGTAGTGAGTCCAGCTCAACCCTCAACCTCTCACCCTGCAGCAGCTCCCGACAACATACACGTCTGATTGTCCCTACATTCCAATGCCACACATTGCATTGGGGAATAAAAGCGGCTACTGCTATCGAAGACCTAAACAAGACATTGAAGATTCTATAATGGACCAAAAAACACATCTTCATCAATATCGCTGAGAAATGCTGCACGGCAACAATCAGACTCCAAGTCCATCCTTCTAATCAACCACCTTTGATATCCTCTAAGGAACAAGTGCTGAAAGCTCCTTCCTCAGCAGGATACAGGAGTCTTCACCTCTAGAACCAACAGATAGATATTAAGAAAATGACTGAACTAACCTTCTCAACAACCACAATTTCTCGTATAGCGCGGAGAGTGGTGACGCCACAGGACAGCAGGTTATTGGCACAGGTCGGATCCACTTCGGCAAGAGCACGAAGAGTTAGAGCCGCTTCCACTCGAACCTGCCATGCTCGAGCAAGACTTCAACACATCATGCAGGGAAGGGTGAAAAAAAAAGAATGTAACTCTGAACTGTAATACCAATCGATTTTTATGACAAAACAGTATTCCTAGGCCATAGAGAACAACAGAACCTCACTATCATACAATCAGAAGCTCTTCACGTACTTTCAAGAAGATCAAACGAGAAATATAGAATAAAAAAGTTACGAAGAACAGATACTTACGGCAATGGAGGGATTAGAAAGCGTCTCCACCAGCGAATTGTCAAGTGCTTCTCTACATGCTAATGAGACCTGGAGACAACGCGGACTCAGAGAGGTCACTACACTAGAACACAACATGAATTGTTTGGTAAACAGCACTTTCAAAAACTAGTTCCGTGGGATGAGTAAATGTCAGAGTTTCAACTGTAAGACCGTAAGTGGGCTAAATATTGTAAAATCAACCACAAAGGAATTACAACAAGAGTGCATGAATGTAAGCAGCAGGTCAAGACGCAACCTCTCCAAGTGTAACCAGAAGATATGCAATTGTCCTTAAGATAGCAATCAGCCGTGGTGAACTGTTGTCTGGTCCAGAAAGCTGCGAACCAATCAATTTATTAGTTATCTTATCTTCCAGTTCGTTGCAAATTTTTAGCAATGTGGTGCAGTTTCGGGGACCAGATATCGACAAATATGAAGTAGGAAAAGTTTCATATGCTTCTGAAAGCAGACCTCTTTCGTAAGCAAGAAAGTGAATTCCTTCTGTGCTGGTTCACCCATTTGTTCCGCAACCCCCACTCGTAGTATATATTGTACACAGGCCTGGTTTTACAAAAGGGTGATGAATAAATTAAGTCAATTTAAAATTGAATCATGCAGCATCAAAATGAAATACATACACACACTTCTTATCACTACACTACAGAGCATTCAAAATACCTAAAGTTTGAGAACAACCACATCTTTGAAGTTTGAATTCACTTGCTAGCATGTATCATAATACAGAATGAATCAAGTTGAGAAAACGTACCAATGCATGTGCATCTAGACTGGATGTAAGCATACTAACGGCCTCCATCCCTAGATGTGCAAGTTCCATGTCGTTATGACCGTAGGTTAGATTCATGCCCTGCAGTCAAGGCAGTCAGAATCACAATGACATTCTGGAGTCATTCTAATTTACGTGGTGTTGCACTTGCCATGACCGCGATCAAGAACTGGAATTCAAAACAATACCTGCAAAAAGGATACCCAGGCCATAGTAAGACCGAAGCGGATATCTTTAGAACGAGGGCCTGACGCTGTGACACACAATGAAAATTGTTAGTTATGAGAGAGCTGCAATCACAACCTTTAAAAGACCAACATGAATATACAATTATGTAGATAACTTGAATGCGGTGTTGCCATGTAGGGTTCCAGAAAACATATGTATTCCACTACTTACCACGCAAAAAAGGGATGATTAGATGTTTCTGCAAAACTCCTTCTAGGGCTTTTGGGGGAGCCGATGGCCCCTTCCCTTTTGGTTGAACCTACATAACCATAGAAAGGATGTCACACAGAAAATTTGTTTATTATTCAACATGGTGAACGACTGTGAAGCAAGCAGTTATACGTGAAATGATTAATGGGAAGACACTAATCCATGTCTGACCATATACACCACATTGCAGAAGATTTACCTGCACTGCTGGATTTAAGCCGAGAGCAAGCAAAGCTCCTAAAGCAGCAGCATAACCATCTCGAACACATTGAAAGACGTCTTCCAGCCCCTGATGAAAATCAACATCTTCTTAAAACTGTAATGTTCCTCTAAACTGTTTCTAAACAAGATTCCAGGATACAAATGAAACCGCGATTGATAGTATACTTGGAAAAAACCAATGTCCCAATCTGATGTATACCTTCAAGCAAAGGTTGATACAAGGTTCAAGTCCACCAGATCCTACACCAGGCCCACCAGTCATGGCAACTGCGCGGAGGCACCCAGCTGCAGCAGCTCTGACAGCTGCCGACTTGTCATTTAATCCAACTTTAAAAATCATACGAATGGCTTCTACATATGCCGCAAAGGGTCCTCCACCCCCGGATCCCTCTAAAGCATCCTGAAGTAATTGCAACCCTGCTTGTCTAATCCTGACCTGTCCAATGTTCAGATGCGGCAACAGAGAATGTTACACATGGCAAGAAATAGCGAATACAAAACTGTATGGTCGAAGAGGCTGGATGAAGTTCTCAGACTCAGACTTAGAATCGGATAGGAGAAACGATCACTGCGAAAACAGCGCAAATGAGAAAATTCCAGAATCCTTGTGAGGTGCCAGTGTAAGAATCCAAAAAGGTATTCTGCGCCTCATAATTCTACAGGGGACCTGATAGAAAAGGATTTCAACAACTCTTCCACACATCACAGCAAGAGGTGCTTAACTCGTTGTTACACTAGTTTCAAGAATCCATCTAGTGCTATTCGTAAGTAAGACAAGCTGCATCTCAATCGATTTTAATAACACCAAAGAACGACATGAATAAGGGAGCCTTACAATTAATGATATAGTAAGAGTATGCAAAGCAACACAAACTGCCCTAGAATGTACCTCTGAGGCTTTTAACAGCTTCCCAACAATACTACTGGTTTCCACGAGTCCCGACGTAATCCTGTCGCCAAAAGCTTTATATAAGGCCCCGAGGCATTGAGCCGCACCTGTAAAAATAGGAACATGATCAAGGTCTACTTTACGTTTTTATGAAATTAAAAACTATCAAATCCGATGTGATTTACTGAGCACCGAAATCATACAAAGCAGTAAATGTTGATTCGCTAAAGTCCGAGCAGATCATAAACAAAAATTTGTAAAAACTCAGTCTGAGTTAACCAACCAATACAAGACGCAGGGTCAGACTTTCGAACATCCGCTTTATCAGATAACCACCCCTGCAAGCTACTAGCTCTTGAGTAGATGGAAATACTATCCCCCAACTCTATGAACTTAATCATAGCTGCAGAAGCCAGGCGTCGTACTGGTGGGCGAATCCCTAACAGTAGCAAATTTTGTAGAGCATCTTCTCCTTTTCTTTGAACGGGCAACAAATTATCCTGCAAGTCCACTAGATATTATTAGATTCTAATACACTATCACTCAACAACCCTTGGCAAATACCAATCACTAAATATCACCAAAATAGAGGAATAAATTCCATGTGAGGATCCCTAAGCTGATAGAAACTTTCAAACTCACAAAATTTCACAGAGTTTATAGTGAGGTGTTCCAACTACATGCATGTGATGCATCCTTCTCTCAAATATGGTCAATTAGCGTATTTAATCATTGCCTCCAGATACACAAGATATAGAAGACGAGCATTGCTGTCAGCAAAAGAGAACAGCAAAGAAAGAAAAAAGTATGATTATAAATAGGAGGCACAAATATAGGGCTGCCTGGCCTGAACGAAACTGGAAAAAGAGATTCACAATTAAAATAAATGCTGATACGATAAGAAAATTAACGCAAGTAATCCAGTGGTTTTCAATTCGCCTTCAGGTGTTAAACCAGAAAATGTGTCGCAAATTCACGAATTTGTTGTTATCGTTGATAATGACCTCTGTTGTTGATTGAAATGCAATGCAGTCATATTTGGGCAGCACACTAAGGCGCAAATTATGTCCAACACAATTAATACAAGCACTTTCCGGTGTTTATAGTGCTACTACAGCGAAATTGCTTACGACGCAAAACATACAACATGAGCGGTGATTCATCACTCTAAACCCGACTAAATCGCTCATTTTTTCTATTAATGAATAAAACCTCAAGACCAGATCGATGACGTCCTAGCAGGGAAAACGAGAAAGAGGGGAAAGAAGGCAATGGCACCAGACCTTGGACTCTCTGTCGAGCGTGGACAAAAGATCGGACAGAAGATCGAAGCACATCAGAGGTTGCAGCGGCTTCTGGGAGCCCGAATGCACCACAGACTCTAGCTGTGCTACCAGGACCCCCAGCTCCGACAATCCCCCACCATCTGCCATTTTTCTTCTCCTTCCTCCCCTGACACCGAAACACACCAACCCAGCTCAAATCTCCTTCCGCGAATCACAACCAATAGCTCCTTCTCAACCAAACATGGCGAAGGTCGATGCACTACCCGGCGCTCTCAATGCCAGAAACTACTTCCCGAGATCTTCAGTCCCAGATTTCCTTCATACCATCCAAACGATACCAATATGGAAGCAGTCAAGCACAGATCTAACCAAAGCCCAACTTCACAAAGGACTCTGCCCGAATAGAGCGAGAGACCCTAAGCAACCGTCCTCCATGGACCTCTTTCTCCGCTGATTGCTGCCACGCAGGTTCCAGCTAGACATTTTCATTGGGTTACGTCAGCATCCACGTGTGCAGGAGCTTTCCCTTTCCTCTCCTCTTGTTATGCTGTTTTTCCAGGAATCAAGTCAGAAATCCAATGAAGCCGAAAATTTGCTTGAGAGCCTCTCCTGGGAGCATTCAATTTCGAATTGGGTTTTTCCAAGAGCGAGTGAAGTTGTTGTCATTAGGGTTTGGCTATGGCGGAGGTGGAGGTCAATCGGAGGGACATGGAGGCCGGGGAGAGTCCAGCCTTAACAAGCGCTGCGCTAGGGTTGCACTATTGGCCTACCATTGACGGTCCTTTGGGAGTGTACCACGAGGAGGCAGTCAATCTCGCCAAGTCTTTCTACTATGTTGGGTTCCTGTGTCTTCCCTGGTTGTGGTTCATCAACTGTTTATACTTCCTACCAGTGCTGCGGAACTCAAGATCCGATCCCCTAATTCGCCCATGTACGTTGAGGTTCTGCCTTTGTAACCATGTCGGAGTTGTTGGTTTTGAGAGTCAGAATCTTCGTACAAAATTTTTGTTCATGTTGCTAGTTATTTGTTGTGCTCGTGGGCATGATTCTGTCTTTATTTCGCGACTGCGAGTTATGAATTAAGCTGGTTGTGCGAATAACTGCTCATTCAATTGGTAAGCTTGAGATCATTCAGCTCTCGGCTAGGGCTTAGTTCTAAGGGCACACTCCTGGGCATGGAGTTAGGATCAACAGGATCTTGCATAACTGAACTGTCTGCACTCTGTGCGCGTTCCATGCATTCTTCTCCTTTTTTCTAGTGATGTGAGGGATCATCGTCCACGAGAATCTGGGTGAGTATTACAATTCGTCAAAGCACATCAATCGTGTTAAGCTTTTCCCAGTCGTGGTACACTCTCATAGGACCGTTGTTTGAGTGTGGGATCCCAAATTTCATCTCTGACAAGATGATTGTACGAAACGTAACTATTGTTCTCGTTGATTTCAATTACAAGGAACATCATTCCATCAGTTATGATTATTTTCGACTATCTTCGAAATAACTACGTTCGAGTCTATTGTTTTCGTTTGATTCAAAGGTAGCATTATTTGGCAGAATGCCTGTTAGGTGGAGTCTTGAAATTTTAGGTCTTTATATTTGATATGAATTGTAGTTTTTAGATTGATCTTGATAAAGATTCTGAAAATATCCTGAATTAACGAGATGTTGGCCTTTGCAGATGTGGTCAAGTCAGGCATTGGTTTTCTTGTATGCGGCTCACTTCTCCTTTCATGGGCGTTAACTTTTGCGTATGGCGGTGAGGGGTTATTAGGTCCCTCTTGGAAGCACCTGGCAGTATATGATATCGCAAACAAGTACCAACAGGTAAAATCCAACTTGTTTTGTGTACACAGTATCCATGCAATCTTGATTCTGGAATAATCTTGATACGAAATGATGTCACTTGTTCATTTGTATGTCATCTAACTTGGCATTTCCCACTAGGTATTCTATTGCATCTTTTTATTTTATTTTTATTTTTATGTTCTGGTTTACTCATGTGGTTCGTTTGTTGGGTTCCAGTATGCAATGTCGATTTATTAGTTATGCTGGAGTTACTGGCTATGATTGGTCTATGAACACGGTTAGGCTTGACCTGTGTGAGTCGCATTCTGCTTGAATTTGAAGTTATCCTGCTGAGATGCGTCATTTTTGTACAGATCTTCACCTAAGGAGTCTACGTGGAGTTGAAGCTTTAATACATTCACGGTTTAAACATCTTGATTTTCACTTGCAGCGGGCGCACTGTGATGTACATTAGATTCATTCATAGTCTAGAATTCACATGACTATTGTATACCAAGGTCTCCTATTCCCTGTCCACAAACATATATCGATGCTCTTTACCTAGTAGCACACACGGGTGGATAGGTATGACGTCTTTGGAAATGATTTTATCAAACGTGCATGTTGCTGTGCACCGTGATCAACTGCGGCTTTTTAAGCGGTCTATCTTCACAGAAATCGTGTCAGGAACTTTAAAATTAGTTTTCTGAAGTGCATATGAACCCTTTCATGCTCAACCTGGACATGTGAACCAGCAAGGAGACGGCCGAATTTATCAATAGATCATTACACTGCATACCGTGTCTCATGTAGGGACAGAGAATCGGAATGCTGGTGCCCATCTGAAATTTTAATGGCTGATCTGTGCTTACACTGTGGAGACTGGTAAGTATGCTACACTCCATGCCTTTGATGGCATTCTTATCATGGAATGTGTACTCATCTATTAAAATGGTTGCCCCTGTATTTGAGATACCGTCTTGGCTAGAATTAACGATCCTTGTAACTGTTTGCAGTGCTTTAAAGCAATATCCCGTAGGATAACTATCTAAAATGAATAATTTGGGTGTGTCTCAACAACTTCAAGGTACATGCTTGGACATCTGGTCAGTAAATCAGGCCTTCGTCATTCACATTATTAGACACACATTTGTGTACTACTGGAAAGCAAACCAGCAGGTCTCCTGGGTACTCAACTATTTCCAGCTTCTCAAGCATTGTGTTTGCACAGTGAGCACTACACTTACCAGAGAGGAGCTTGGTAGTTCCATGATTTTGGGCCTTATAGCCGAGCCTGAGCTCGCGGGTTCACGACAATCCCTCTCGAAGCTTGCATGTGCAAGTAACATAAAAAATAAAAATAAAACTACAAAATATGGGTATTTTTTCATCAGGTATTGTTGCCCAACCATGAAAGTCGTTAATTCATCGTATTTTCTCTCATTATGAATAATGAATTAAGCATTCTGTAGGCTTTCTCTTCATCGCAAATGTCTCTGTTCCCAGCCAAGTGTGGTAAGGTTGGTGGTAAGGTTAGGGAGCTTCTAAGTAAGAACTATAAGAACTGGAACTGTGAGTTGACACTACCCGCTGCTTTTCTTTTCACTAATTGCCAACACTGAGCATCCTTACAGTACCTACCTCGGGTCCAGTCACTGTAAGCCTCAATTGCTTGCTGATCACTGACTAATATAATGGGGGACGGCACAGCATGTCAATCTCAACCTAGATTAGTAACAAAGCCTCCTGCTTGAGTTTTGGAGGCTTAAGTACTGTGTCTGTACCGTTTCCCAAGAGGACTATAATCACAAAGGAATGAAGGTGTTCTGCCACCAAGACCTCTTCTTGGAGCTTCATGCATAGGCCCTGGCTATTACTCATCAGCTCCTCTGTTCACTCAAATCCTGCCTCTTATCCAACACGTTGCCAATATTCCATATCTTTAGAAGCTGAGAAATGGGTTCCAATAGTTTTTTTTTTTTTTGAATATTCATCAGTTATAAATTTGTGCTTGAAGGAGAGATTCATTGTGTTGTGTGGAAATGAGAAAGGATAAGAATATTCTGGAAAATTCTTAAGTAGTCAAGCCAAACTTCTCCATTGCCTGGAAGCCAATTAGCTTGACGACCGTAGCAAAGCCATATGTGGGTGAATCTGGAAAATCATCCAAGTACCATCATTAACATGTACAATTGCTACCCACAGCAAGTGAAGTTTTAATGAATTGTATTCTGCAGTGACCACCAGTGATTTCATTCATTCTTCCGGTCCACCCATTCATTCTTTCGGTCCATCCATTCATCTATTAACCGACAACAGATGCAGGGTGGAAATATTTTTGCAAAATGTTGCGACTTACAAGGCAATCTGTAAAGGGATCTGCCCACTTTGTATCTAATATTACACTTTTATTATTATGAAAATAGTAACAATCATTAAGAAGTATAGACCACTTATCTCAACTTAACCCTGTGCATTGTCAATAATGAAGCATCAAATCAAGAATTTGTGTTGAACGATTTCAAAACCTTGTGCTTGTATGTCACCGTAAACATTGCATGTGCTGCTAATGTCTTAGAAAATATTAATTTAAATTCAGATTTCAAAAAACTAAACAAAAACGAAAACGAAAAAAACTAATAGTGTGTTATGTTTCACAAAGAGAAATGAAATCAAAGTAACAAATTAATTAGATGGTTTGTACAAAAATAAACTAAAATTACCTTTTGTGTTGTTTTTTCCACCACCAGTTATTTGCAAGAACTATACAGGAGAAACAAAATGTGAAATGTATATTTCAAATTATTTTGGTTGGAATTTTTCAAAAAATTGTACACAGTGTTATGATGTGCAATATCATTTCATATCCTGGTTAGAAGAAGAAAAATAAATAAATAATGAAATAGAAATTAAGAAGAAAGAAAACTATTAATTTGGTTGTTGTAGAAAAAATCACATGATCCATTGAATATTCAAATAAAAGAGTTGAAATTATGTGAGGAATAATTACTCCTCTGCATTCTCTTATCCTTTTGTTGTTTTTTCCCTTAATTTTACCAATAAAAATGTTAAAAGAGTTACCATCCTTTGCATATATGTGTCTGTGCATGCTCTTTGATTTTAAGCATGTAATATACATACTATCTTTGTATATTTTCTTTTTTCTTTTTCTTTTTCAGAAACTGGTCTCTTCTTTTATCCCATTGAATCCATTGTTTTATGTGTTTGAAGCAATGTTTGTAATTCTCCTAGTTAAATCAATCCTGTTTGATTTATGATACATAGTTTAAGAAAGTAATGGTTTAGTCATAATCAATCATATCTCATGTTTCTAAACAACTGCTTTATTCTATGATTATCTTAAGTAATAGATGAAACTTATGCTGCAGAGGAGGTGACATTCTCTTGAATTTATTTATTTATTTATTTTAAGTATATACATTATAATATTCTAACTCAAAATCATGATTCCTGGTTAGGTTCTTCCTGTTCTTGTTACACATTATTGTATCATATTTTGTGCAGAGCAAGTTTGTCAGGTTGTTGGGCAAGCTTACATGGTCATCAGAACATGTTCTCTTTGTATGTAACCATGAGAATAATGAAGAACTATTAATAGAATCCACTACCATTGTACTGAGGTTGTCATCCAAATATAGAAGTATAAACAAAAAACCAAATAAAATAAAATAAAAATAGACTCTCATGCCAAATTATTACCTTCATACTTACTCTTTTTACCTGAATGCAAGGTATAAGTGTCCATTGAACAGTGACTTGTTGGGTAACCCCAACATGTGTTACATTCAAAGCAAGTGAGGGAAAAAAAATTGAAATCATTGAAACACCATAATGTAGTGCATTGTACTTAAGGAACTGTCATAATATAGTTTAATCCTGGAAGAAATACTAATTAATTAAATTAATTAAGCATGCCTTACAATATAACTCTTAGTAGTGAAGACAACTTCTTTGGTCTATTATTGTTATTGTTATTATTATTCTTATTAAAACCTTCATTCTCAAGTTAGTTAAATTCAATGAATTTGTATTGTAATGTCTGAAGCATTACAATTCAACAATTTTTTTCGTTCTACTCATTTGCTTTTGGCGAACAGCAAAGGGAGGGTAAAAAAGAAAATGACCTGAAGCAAATTTGTTTTGTTTGTTTTGTTTTATTTTATTTTACTTAAAATTATCTGGTAGATGACAAATATCAACCTCCCACTGTGGATTTTACGCTACTTCAATCGAGGTATATTATTTTTCATCTGGAGTGTCCTGTCTATGCTGGCAACCCCATACCTTTCAATAGATTCAAATTAGGTTTTTGGTAAACGTACACTGTTCAGTTCACTTGGTTGGCCTGTAATATTATGCATTACACAAAACGAAATAAAAATTATTATTATTATTGTTATATTCTTAAGGTCGACCTCTAATCCTTTGATTTTGTTTATCCCTTTTCTTGTTTGTTTGTTTGTTTGTTTGTGTTTTTTTTCCTTAATTCTTTTGAAAATAAGTGTACACCTGGTACAACCCACGGGGTCACACCCTCATCGAAGGGTCACACGGTTTCACCCTCAGGTCTGCGACATCCAAACCACTGCAACAGCGCTCTATTTATTTTCATCACGAAGGTGGGTTTAGCAGTACCTCCCCTGTAGGAAAAAACCCAACAATTCGTAAAGAAACTATACCCTAAAACCCTAACATTTAGGGTTTGGTTCGTTTGAACTTGATGAGAAGGGGGGATAGCTAGTTCCCTCCTCCTTGTCTGGAGTTTGACAATGTCTACCCCTGAATAGACAGAGAGTAAGCGAGAGAGCATGGCGTGGAGCATAGTGCTGCGAAAAGCCTGTGAGGACTGAGTCCCGAGTCCTGAGTCCTGAGCACAAGCAGTCAGGGAGTTTGTCGTTGAATCGGAAGCTCACCAGCAGCGCAGGTGACCCAGGTGGCAACGGCGACCAAGGACGAAGAAGACGAAGAAGCACCTTGCGCCGCTCGCTCGCTGGCTGGGTTTCGGAACTGGAGGTCGAGATCTATGCTGATATTGCAGCGAGGATTCAAATTCGCACTCTGGCGTCTCCGTGCGAGCGTGTGCCTGTGTGTCTCTCGTCCTCGCGCAACGTTGAGTTCCGCGCGGCGTTTCACATTTGAACAGATTCTGTTCGTTCGATACATGGACTTCAGACCCGAACTGGCGTACTTGGACATCCATCCATGGTTCGTAGGTATACATATATGCGTACTCGTATTCGTTTGTAATATATTTATAGGCGAGGACACTGTGTGCAGTGACGACGGACACGTATGCGTAGCTCGCAAGGAATTTACCCAGTTTCTAAATTTAGTTGATTTTAGTCAATTCATTAAGAAAAAAGTTCTGAATTTTGGATTGTTGCATACGTCGTTTTAATCCATGAAATTTAAAAGTAAAATAAAATAAAATAAAATAAAATCATCCACAATATTTGTTGTTGATAATGATTCTAACACAATATAGTTTAGAGGTAAACATGCAGATTCACGTAATCTGAGTTCAGGTACACACCATTAAAATTTCATAAACTTCAAAAATCAACGAAATCTGTTCAAATGAGTACTGGAATAGTAAAGCTATTGGTAGTTATATTTTCAATGAGGAAAAAACACAAAGATGTTTGTTTCTTTTCTTTTTCAATTACAGGTTTTCTTTTGCCAGAGAGTATACTACAAAAAAGAAAAATCAGCAAATGAGAAAAGTGTATCAATTCTAGGATGTGTTTATTTATTTATTTATTTTTTGATGTGTCGATTATCTACATTAAATTAAAAGAATCCCCATTTTAAGGGGAGAATATTCTATATGTATATTTGTCTCATCCTTCTGCTCCTTACATATTTATATATGCATACACTCTTATTAGGGCAAAAATAATGCATATTAGCGTTAAAAAAGAAACTATAGAACAAAACAAGGATCTCTCTCTCTCTCTCTCGCTTTCTCTCTGTATACACATGGTGATATTCAAATACACAGGAATATACTAAATTAAAATTTATTTTGTTATATAGGAAAATCTAATAAACTTTGCTTTATTTTATAAATATGATTTGCAAGTATTACTCCCTCCATTGTTTTATTTTAACAGATAACAAATCCTTGTCAGTAGTTGCATCTTCAAAATAGATATGTAATTGTAACACTGTAAAAAATGCACAACAGACAATTGAGATATATCATAATTTGAATTTATTATTCTTGAAAATCAACATTAGGACAAAGCATTTATCACGACATCCTTAATTACAGAAAGCTGATGCATTTTCTTCTCAATCAATCCATTCAAAAAGCACAATGTTGTTAATGTCACCACCTCAACATCAACAAAAATTGATGGCACAATTTTGAACTGGATTGCAAAACTTCATTCCATATAAATAATCAAGTCTTATCATGCATTCATTTGTGTGTTTCGTTGTAGGGACGCAACAACAACAACAATGCTTCAAAGTAATAAATTCCTACAATGAAGCTCCTAAGCCTGTTGTTGTTGAACCCACAGCGCAAAAATCCAACGGCCAATACTGGATGATACTTTCATCCATCTAGATTTAAAATTTCCCGGAAAAGTGAATGCTGAAGCAGCTTTTTATTATTGATACTGTATTTAAATAAGTATCTGAGTTGCGTATGATGATAGATCTGATAGGTGATCTACAATAGAATTGCATGAGATTGGCTCGAGATTCGTTCGCCCATCGTTCGTTCGTTCCTTCTGAGACTGTGGGTGCCAAAATCAGCTAAGTCTCGCTGCATAAATGCAGTTCAACTCCTTCATTATCCCTATCGCGATAACGAAGAAGAATCCTTTGGGCACCTGTGAGTAATGGCTAATGCCAGCCCCTTTAGTTTGAAACTCTGCAGCTCCATCTTGGGGTGCCATAAAAGCAGATTCTTCGTGCTTCAATGCGGTGATGGGGGTGGGCAGTGACAGGATCATCAGAGACACGCTCTGAGCTTGTGTCCAGACGAGCGCAGTGATGCTGGGGGCTTGGGCAGACCTCACAAGGGCTCACGCAATTTCTTCTTTTCGGCAGAATTTGATCCCCCTTTTCTGGTTTTCAGAACCTAGCCCGACAGGGGATTGTATACCCTGCAAATGAAGGTGCGGTAAAACGCTAGTTTTTATGCTGGTAGACGAACGATCTACGCCGCCTCAGAGGCATAGCAACGGCTATCGCTGCAACGTGGTTTGACACCTGTTGCCAAAGTGATCTAGGCACAGATGAACTTGAAAAACCAGATGAAATAGCTTGTCTTTGTCTCCAAGTTTTTGGCCTTCTACAAACAGCGCTGGTGGGGCACTGGCACCAACTTGCGTCAATGCATTAGTACTGGCTGCTACATTACTCTTCCAGTTTGTGCCCTAAGCATTCTGAAGGAGCTGCCTGTAAGGTAAAGGCTCCATTTATCGTAAAATAAATCAACAAATAAATAAATAAATAAATAAATATGCGTGCTGATTCCTACTCTTCGAATGAAAATACTTTACATGTTAACAGTAGAGAGGGTTACTAAATACATGGGTAAAATCTAGGAGATACCACTACTCAAGGTCATTTTGACGCTTGCAAATAAGTGGCTAGTTCTAGAATATAGGTGTTAATGAACAACATCAGCCATGTACTATCAGGGGCTAATCTAATTACAAGTTAGTTAAACTTTGAATGCTATCTTCTTCAAGAGATTTCGTTCCTTCCAGACAGGTTCAACAGCTGTGACCTGAATCACATGCAGCTTGAAAAATCTGGTGCATGATTAGAAGCAGAGACATCTGCATTGATTTTGGGTAAATCCCTTTTAACCCTCAAAACAAAACAAGAAATTAAGGACATGGCATTAATGTCAGTTTTTTTTGAAGCTGTTTGTATTATTCCCATTGCAAACATGTCCCTAGTAATATGTAACTCATCACCTAGGAGATTGAGATTCCATCACAACTCCACACAGAAATCTCCAATAATTGCAGCCAGGTATAAACGCAAGGAGCTGGTTGGGCGAGGTCACTGCGAATGCAGAGTTGCTCTCTCCCATCACTTTTCAACAGAAACCATTGACACCCTGCATCTGGATGGTACAATTGTCAATGGCATGTGTCGAAGTTCAGCCTTCAGCTCTCACATGCTGGAGCTCCTATCGCAGTAATCAGTCTTTCTCCAACTCACACCCACCCACTAACTCACCACTCTTGTCAACCGCAGAACGTCAAGCTTGGAATAAGTTGGCAGTCTGCAGCGAGATACTATGGAACTGTATGGAACCCTGTCTCCACTCTCAACTGCACCCATCAACCTGAATACAGATTGAGTATGTATTGACTTCGAATACTTTATCTATGTTCCGCTGAGTGTGCGTTAGCGAGCTTGTGCAGATCAAGGTGGACTAGGACGGCGTCCTGGTACTAGCTTAACAAGGCCACGGCTGCCACAGCAACGGTTCAATGGAGAGCTAGAGGCGCTTCCACCGAGAGCTTCGGCGGACGTTCTAAATGGCATACTCATATGCTGGTGGGTGCAAGCGGATAGTCCAGCCAGCCCTCTGATCGTCTCCCACTATCGCTAACCCACTGGCCGTCTATATCGATGATGTCAAAGGAATTCTGTCCCCTGTGTATGTAGGGTTGTGCGGGAATTCAATACTCGTGTGATGCAATTCTAGGTGTCGATTAATGGCTCGCTAGTGTTCATTGTTCAGTGTTCTGATATCTGAAGGCTTGGTGTGAAGCAGCAGCACTAGACTAGAACCATTCAGGGAAGTAGAGTCTGTGTTGCATTCAGTCGGTGATTTTTCAAATTTTCCAGTTCGAGGCAATTGCTTCTTCTATAGCGAGTGATGGATTTGTGAGCGTGCACAAAAGTGATGTTGAGTGTGTCGGTTACTTGTAATAATGTATTGATTCCAGTCTGTGCTTTGTGGCGAGGAACCTATGCGTGCTCGAAACTGCGAGTTCCTGCGTGGACATGTTCAGGAACCACAGCTAGCTTTTAGTGATAACTTTACAATACTGTAGAAATGAGGAAGACTGGAATCTACGAGGCTTGAATTTTTCGCGAGTTAGGAGGTAGGACTAGGTGATTCTCGATCGTGAAAGTATAAGGTCATCGGTTTTAAACGTTGAATGACAAGCCGTTAACGCGATTGTGATAACGGAGCATAACTGTAGTGAGATCATTGAGCGATCGTATGGGACCACTGACCAGAGCTCGCAGAGTACTATTGCTTCCCCTGTTCGGTGGAATATTGTACAGGCGCTTCGCGAAGAATGAGCTTGATCGTCCATGTTTGGATAGGCAATGGAGGAGCAACGTCATTAAATGAAGTGAAATCCTGCGTACGTTGAGTGAAATCAAGCTTTGTCAACAGAAGACGATGGAATTCGAGATTAGAAGCTTACAGTGGTGATGAGAGCCACTTGCTGATGCAATTTTTGGATTGACTTGCGTTCGCTCTCTCTCTCTCGTTGTCATTTCCTCACCTGGTGCCTTCAGATGCTTCTCTTTCTTACTTTTCAACATTGCAATAAAAAATTGAGGATATCTCGCCGTCGCAGAGCATGTCAAGATTGCTGAAAGATTACAGATTCAATGAGGCGCTGTTTCTGATTTGAAAGGAAAGATGGTTGGTAAATTATGAAACTGCAGGTGGGTTACCATCCATAAACCAAGAGCGCAATACTGTCTCTCCCCCGGTGCCCTGGTTGCTAACTACATAGAGAAGTTCAAGTTCATTTCAAGTACACAGCATCTACCCACCTACAGTTTCAGTCCGAATGGACTCTGAACCTGCAGTTTCGTAGCCTTTACCTTCTCCGAACATGAACTTGTAGCTCTTCCTGAAGGCGTAGCATCATGTCATTAACGATGCCCACCTTTTAGCGGCAATATTGATTCGAGCACGCTGATTGTAACGATCAAGGCAGTGTTGCACTTTCCTGCTCAAGACCTTAGTTTATCGAAACCTGTCCGATCCTCATTTCTGGTCTGCCATTCCAGATTTGGATATCATGCTAACCTCTGCTGTGGCAACCTTGTCCTCTGGAGGTGTCCATCTCGAGGGAAGTAAACGTTCTGAATCATTCGAAGGAGGCTGCAGATGATCCATCGCAATGTGAGCGTTGCACCCACGTCTCGGTACGAGACGTTACATTCAAGAACGTTGGGCTCGAGTCCCGAAACCGAACCTTATAATGATCCCCACTACATGGTTTTCCGTGTGGTATTTTTATACTCTCTCGTTCATCAGACTATATTTGGACTACGAACGGTCGAACCTTGAAACTACCAAGTCACAGTTGGAAGAGGTCGCCAGATCGCAGGGCGCAATTTCCGTCTGAATAGCCCATCCGACACTCAAAGCACTGTGATCTGGAGTGACGAAACGCTGTGATACGGAGGGAATGTAAACGGCCTCATATCGTTCCTGGCTTAAATTCAAGAGTCGATCATTCGAAGCTTTGTGACATAATTTGTTATTAATAGACATGCCAAAGCCAAACGCGGCGAGCTACTAATAATCTCGCGAGATTGGATTCGATGGCGAGCTTATTTCATGTGTTCGACTTCCGAGAGGCTCTCTTCCGGAGCAATCAACCTCGGAGATCTGTAGACGGAGGTAGCGTTCTCTAATGCACAAGCGTATATGTTCTCTGAATTGTGAGGATGCAGTAAGCTGAAGATACGTAGCGTTTTTTAGTTGTTAAGTTGGGTCTCGTTTCGTCAGTAAGTTTACTGTGATTTCTTATGCTTGGATGTGCCCTCTTCGATCAAAATGTCTTCCACGTTCAGGACGATTGAGATTCGAAGGCAAGAACCCCTCGGAGAGCTTCATCGGTAGGCACTTATTCTGTATCTGTTGACGCTCAATCAGGTTTGGAGGCGCCGAGGAACAGTTTGGACGTGCCAGGCGGAGCAGCCAATGCAGATAGGAGGACTCCTTCCAGGCCCGAGGACATTCCTGTAAGTATCACCTTCAATTATCGTTTACTGCAACGCATAGTCCGCTGAATATATCAGTCCACAGAGGTGTTAGCTAAGAATTATCACACTGATATGAATAATCATTCTTTGCAGTTTGGCCACGAATACCACAATACAGCTCTTGCCTCGAGCAGCGGCCGAAGGAAGTGGGACGGCGCACCATACACAGGAGGGCATGATAGATCGGAGCAGTCGACGATCGAGACTACGGGACGAGTCCCAAATATTGTAGCAAGGCTCATGGGCTTGGACGCCTTGCCGGATGAGCTTCCAACCGTCCGTCCACGAAAGTCGTTGCAAGAAATGCCGACGTATGGATGCGCCAAGCAAGCCGAAGGAAGTCCAGTTTTGTTCCGCCAGCACTCGCATGGTGCGATACCGTTCTCGTGGAAGCGTCCTCCTCTTTCTCAGGATGCGCAGCGAGAACAAACGAATGAGGGTGTAGAAGAGAGCGAACTAGCCCCGGTGCTTCCCTTCCGAGATCATCCGCAAGAAGAACAGCTGCTGGAGTTTAAGAGAGAATTCGAGACTAAGGAACGAGAGCGCGCCCGAAATACCCAGCTGGATGATATGAGTCGCCAACTAGAGGAGAAGAAGAACAAAGTTCGGGCCACTCTTGACAAAGCCAGGATTGCATTATCGCAGGGGATCATAACTGAGCCGAAGCATCATCTCAATGGCCAGGGAAAATTCGAGGAATCACAGGAGTTCTTGGACGCAATGGAGTTTTTGCAGTGTAATAAGGACTTCATTTTTCAGTTTCTCCAGCAAAAACCTCACGTCATGTTCAGCAACGAACCCCGGAATACCATACCACCGGTAATTCGTCCGAAAACGCCGAAGAAGGGAAAACGCACCTCTGCAGCTACTCCCCGAGACTCCACTGAGAAGAAGCGAGACGGGTTCAGCCCCCGCGCAATCGCTCGTCTCTTCATGCCATCGGATTCTCGGAAACGTAATGAAAGGGAGGAACAGCTGGCGACTCCCCCGTCTGGCACCGGATCCCTACCCGCGATTGTGAGGTGTAACAGCTCCAGAATGGCGAACACAGGATCTAGAGAACTTTCGGGTGGTGCGAAGCTGAAGACTTCGAGCTCCACAAACTCAAGAAATGCGTCACCGACTGTAACTCCGAAGGTGCACAGAGATGACATCAGAAGCTGCAGCAAGAATGGAGCTCAAGATGTCATCGGGGAAATAAAAGAGAGGCTGCGACAAAGAGACGCTGACAAGGGTGCAGCTGGGGAGGAGGTTAGATTTACCAAGGACTTCAGCAAAGAGCATTTGCGAGGTTCTGTGCGAGACTCTAAAGGCATTGCACCAGATATTGTCAAAAATGCGCGTGAAGGGTTGAATTTCCAGAAGTTGGCCAAAGATTCCACCCAGACGAGGATTGTCTCCACGGGCAAACGTATTTCTATGCAGAAACCGGACACGATGGACATGGCCTGCATGAGCGATGGCGAGGACATCCCAACGCCGTTGCAGAAGGTTTTTCGAGGGAATGTGGGTAGGTCATGTGTCAGTCTGCCGAGCCCGCCTCACCTTTTGGCTCCTCTCGCAAAAGAAGCCGCAGCGGGTACAAGAGTGACCCGAAATCGTGCACTTAAGAAAACCCTAAATCCCAAATCTGGCGATTCAATTGACACTCCAGCCACACCCAGGGCAGCGGACAGGACCATAGCAAAGAAGACCCTACTGGCATTAAAATCCCCCCGACGGAGCTCTCCACGCTCCAGTACTGAAGTGGAGAAGAATCCCATGCGGAGGTCGGCTTCTGTGAATGAAAACTGTGTCCAGGGCAATGCCTTCAAGCCCAAAGGCGACAGCCTCGTGGTCATTGCCAGAAAGAATCATCTCCATGGCGCCAATGAGCCTTCAACGAACCTCACTCGCTGTCGATCGTTGCCAAACTCGGCCATATTGCGAGAGAAAGGGCAACATGCCAAAGAAACAGCTTGTAAGCCCACAAAGACCACGGCGGAGGTGGTGTCCACTCCTGCAAAGCATCATCAAAGTGGTGAAAAGAAGAAAGGCCTTTTGATTCCTGGCAGGAAGAAGTGGCGGGATAGCTCAGAGGTCATGCCCTTAACCCCAGACCCAGTGTTGGCGCGTGTTGTTTCTCTAGCGGAATCCTGCGTCTCGCGAAGTAACACGCTAAGCGATGCAGACAGTGCCGCAGATGCCTTGTTTCATGTCCGATCGAGCAGAAACAGTTTGAAGAAGTCCAAGGAAAAGCCTAGGGAGATTATGCTACCTCCCAAACCAGTGACATACGCTGAGTTTCTCCAACATTTCCGTGCATCCCCGCCTACAGATGAGAGTGTCATCTCTGAAAGTAGTGCTGATTCTGATCTCGGTCCCTACGAACACGAGTTCTTAGAAGTGCTCACTCTGATGAATCCACTTGCCAAGCGCAAGTCCACAGCCGCGACCCAAACTGCACCGATGCAAAGGGTTCAAAGCCCTGCCTGTCCACCCTCTCCGCAGTCACGAAAGGTTTGCCGTCTTACCGATTAAAACCGCACACTCTTTCGAGTGATCCTCAAATATGGTGAACGCTGCGTAAGAAGTTTTGGTTGATATTGGTTTCACTCTGGGAGCTGAATAGTCTGTCTGTACTGCGCATTGCAGGTCCAGAATGCAAAGAACAGTCCACAGCCTCTCCGAACTCGAGCGACAGCGAGGAAAACCCTTCACCACCACATAGAGGAATCCTCCCAAGATTCAAGCAGCGATAAGAATGGACAGCCAAGTCCTGTATCTGTTTTGGATTTGCCTTTCGAATCCGAGGAGTCTCTGAGTCCGCTCGAGTTCAAAGAGATCACGAATGATCTTAGAGGTTTGTGTGCTTCAAGCTCAAACCCCTCTAACACTTCGTTTTCACACATGTCTATCTGTTACGTGCAAATGGTGATTCTTCTCTTCTGATTTTCTCGTGAACCTCGCAGAACTGCAAAATCGATTACGGCTTTTGAAAGCCGATGGTAGCGATCCAAGAATGAGAGACAGCATGGAAAATGTCGTAGAGATGGCCGTGGCGCGCGTTCCTGGTGACAAACAGAGAGGAGCCTTACGAGACTTGGCCTGCAAATCAAGACAGGAGAGGAATGGTCGACTCAAGTCGTATCCACATCCTGTGGATCCTGAAGCAGATTTCGCGTTTGTGAGGGACATTCTTGTGACCTCAGGATTCCATACCTGCGGCGGGCGCAACATCAGTCGGTGGCATTCCTCTACGCAACCGATCAGTCCTCGCCTCTGCGAGCGCATCGAAGCCAACTACTCGGACACTAAGCAGGGACGTTCGATGCTTCGTATCCTATTCCACGCAATCAATGAGATACTCGTCGCGAGACTAGAGTCCCAGAGCCACCATCATCTGCGGTTGCAAGCGACTGGATCTCTCCACGTCGAGATTCCACCGAGGACGATGACTACAGGAAGGAGATTCGTGGAAGACATCTGGAATGATATTCGCTTGCGACAGTTTCCTGCGCTCTGCCCCGACCCCCACCACGACTACCTCGAAAGCCTTGTAGTACAGGACCTGAAATTCTCGAGCTCCTGGCTGTCGCTCCACGACGACGTTGATCGCATCTGCCTCAAACTAGAGAGGGCCATCTTCGATGACTTGATGCAGGAGCTGTGCGTAGCAATGCTGGTGTAACTTAGAAAACATAGACACACAGAATTGATGACAGCATTGGGATTTGGAACCTGGTCGATTTGGTTGCGAGCTCGCTGGATCGTCAATTCGTACGCAGCAAGCACAGCCGCAGAGAGTCCCCCCCCCCTCTCATTCGTGCATCGCAGTCCCCATGTACAGATTCGTAGAATCCCCTTCCTTCCCACCGAAACTCGCATCGCTGAAGGGGAAGGTGTCGGTGCTCGAAGCTCGCGAGCACTTGCCACGTCGGATTCCCAGCTGGCAAAACTCATTCCCATCCGGAAGTTCCGTTTTTTAAATACCATGTGCCACGTAGGCTGGGCTTGCCTGCGTGTCGCGATGCGCATTTCTTGAAATAGATGGAAATTGAATGTTCGACGTTGAAGGACAAATCTGAATAACCATGCAAAGCTTTTGTAAAGATGGAATTGATTCATAGAATTTGTTTAATTTTGTTTTGAAGTTCTTCTTGATAACTTTGTGTTGTTAATATTTGATAATGAAGTTGTCTGTAAATCAATAATACTGTACATGTTCATGTGCACACCATCTATTACATATGGAAATTTGTTTTGGAACTCTAAGTGTGTTGAATATCCCATATTGCACAAACCAAAAGCTATGACTTATCCAACTCTTAACAAAGACACAGGAAGTGCCCTTCTCTTGGCTTCCACCTTTTATTAGCAATGAATAATGTCCATCTTATTTTCATGCTTTCATCATGTTTTCATAACATGGTATCATAGCCAGATGAATACAGTCTGGATAAATAGTGCCGTGGATGAACATCAATCTAAATGAACAAAAGCATGGATGAATGTCAATTTGGATGATTTGCCTTTCGGAGTTCTATTACTGTTGGATTGTTACCAAAGCCAAGGGGCTGCTGGAGCCCTGCTGGAGCTGCTAGAATTAGAATTTAAACTCTATTGATACTATTTTTCACTTAATTAAATCTTGTTTGTTGTTGATGGTGAAAAAAAGTCCTTTTGCTCCAATATAGCTTGCTACTTCTACTCTCCAAATATTGCATTTTGTAGACTATTTGTTAATTGTTTCTTTATAATTATTTGTTGCTATTGCATTAATTGCATTTGGTAATGACATCCTCAATAGATCATAACATTGATCAATTAGATGAGAAAAGCTAGGACATATGGGTATTTGTTATGAAATACTTGATGCGCATTTGCAAGCTTTACATGCATGTAGACTGGATATTAAAATGTCTTGTAGATATTGATGAAGAATTAAAATGATAATCAAGTAAAGCACAAGCACAAGCATTGATTGCACTTAATGTTAAATCTTTGCAATTAATTCATATACACAAATGTAATATTACAAAGGAAATGTAGGATGTATTGGCTAAGATCCACAAGCATTCAAGAGTTATTAATGAGATATTTTTAATGAAGAAACTATATAATATTTAATATATAGATGGAGAATCTATGGAGATTTTTCTTGGAGATATTTTTGATCTTAGAGATCAATATATTGAAGCTAGTGGTAAAATGAAAAAATAGAACATGGCATTTCTTATACTTATTGCATTACCAAAATCTTGGAATCCACTTATTTAGTCGATTGCATCAAGAAAAAGAGAATAAATTACAAAAGAGGTAGTGCAATCTATTTTCTTTGAAGAAGAGATGCAAAAGAAGGAAAAGAATAATTTTCTATTTTTTGCTTTAGCAATGCATGCAAGTGGAAAGCAAGTCTTAAAGAAGCACCATCTATAACAAAAATAGAAACCTAAGATTGATAAGTCTAGAAGTACTTGTATGGCTTGTAGACAGAAAGAACATTGGCAAGGTGATGCAGAATGTCTTAAAACAAATAGCAATGGTGTAATAATGTCAAGGACAAGAACTCGATGAAAGCTAAAGAGTAAGTGAGACTTTTCTCAAAGAAATAGGACAAAATAGAAATATGTATATTAAGAAAGAAATTAGAATGGCTATTGCCAAAATACAAGAAAACTAGAGACCCTTGAAACTAGACTAGAAGCAAGAAAGGAGTTGACAAGAGTGAAGAGGGCTTCACTCTTGCCTCTATATATACTATCTAACTAGAAGCCACATGGCGATGTTCTATAAGACCTCCAATATATGTTGACTTTCTAGGCCACATGCCTTTGCTTGCAAGGCAAGTTTTCTATGGATGGACCACGTAGTTAGCTTGTTCTTTAAGCTTCCAACATGTGTGGCACATGACTAACTTGTTGACCAAGTTTCTAGCCTAAAAGTCAACTATAGACTCCTATAAAGTCAAAGCAGCGTCTATGAAGCTTCTAAGAAGCTTCTCTAGAAGATATTACACAATTAACCTACTTTTATCTACTTTTACATACTTTTATCTATTCATATAGGTAATTATATGTATGTCCGTGACATTACCCCCCCTTCTAGGGACGAGTTCCACGAGGAGCGGTGATTATATATTGAGAAAATCTAATATGCGGCGAATTGTATTTGCTACATACTCTGATCTTTGTTCTCTTCGAAGATAGTTGATGGGTCCTCTTAGCCATCGATAGTGTCCCATTCCAGGGCGAGAAGACCACCCTGTTATTTGATCACTGTTGAGGCCTTCATAACTTCCTTCAAATAATACATTTGAAATACCATCAGGAGTCGTTCCTATCTCCAATAATATCACCAAACATCGAGAATCTCTTCCAAGGTCGTGATACCAAATGCGTTGTATCTCACCATCTATTCGAGGAAGAACATGTCGTTCTTGAGGATCTTCATCTCGATTGCGTCGTCTTGAAGGTTGTGACAATCGCAATGTCTCATCCGGTAACTCAGCAAATGAAGGTTCTTGAGTTGAATCCGCTGGTTGTTGGCTCTCCATCTAATTAGCGTCACAAATGCAAAGAAGTCACAAACAAGGATAGAAAATTGAATGTTATCTTGCCTCAATCTTGTCTCTTTTATAAGAGAGGTTTTCATCTTGGTTTTGATGGATGTCGTTGATGAAAAACTTTGACTTTAGCTGATGCATTTGCTAGATTTCTGGATGGCTCCCATGTGCGCTCACTAATATCATATCCGCGCCAATGAACAAGATATTCCAGCTTATTTCGGCGCCGCCTTGAGTCTAATATCTCTTCCACCTCAAATTCTTCATTATTATCTACTTCTATAGGAGGCGGTGGCATTTGTCTTCTTCCTTGTATATCCACTGTCTTATATGGTTCAAGAAGAGACACGTGGAATACAAGATGGATCTTCATTGACTCCGGTAGATGTAACCGATATGCAACTGGGTTGATCTGTTCAGAAACAGAAAAGGGGCCAAGCCTACGATAGTCCAATTTGTCACAAGGTCGAGTGGTCTTGATATTGCGACGAAGTAGCCATACCTTATCACCCACGTTGAGTTGTGGTTGCTCTTTACAATATACATCTGCATTTATCTTTTGTCGTTCTTGAGCTTTCTTCAACTGCGCCTTCATTATTGCATGTAACTCTGACAACCGATTTGCCATATCTTCTGCTGCAGGATTATCAACTTTTGAAAAAACAAAAGTATCAAGTCGTGGATGATAGCCATAATTGGCAAAGAAAGGTGTTTGTTGCGTGGAAGAATGTACTGTATTATTATAAGCAAACTCTGCCAATGGCAGAAGGATTGTCCAATCATCTTGTTGGTAGTTGATAGTACACCTTAAATACTGTTCCAAGACTTGGTTTACGCGCTCTATTTGTCCATCAGTTTGAGGATGGAAAGCTGAAGATAGCTTTATGTCCACTTTTAAAATCTTGAAAAGAGTCCTCCAGAATCTCGACACAAATTGAGTTCTCCTATCCGATATGATATCTTTAGGTAATCCATGATAGCGATAGATATTATCAATGAAAAGCTTAGCTGTTTCTTCACGTGTGATAGATTTTGTACATGGCATAAAATGTGCCATCTTGGTGAAACGATCTACTATCACAAATATAGAATCATAAGATCTTGAGTTTGGAAGATCTGTGATGAAATCCATAGAAACAGAAGACCATGATTGTTCTGGTATAGGTAATGGCTGAAGAAGTCCGTAAGGTCGATGTCGAGGAATTTTTGATCTTGAACAAATATCACATGATTGTACAAAGTCTTTGACTGACTTCCACATTTGTGGCCACCAAAAATCTCTTGATATGAGTTCCAGAGTCTTATTATATCCAAAGTGACCTGCTGCTGGAAAGTCATGACGTGCTTGAAGAACACGCAAACGTGCTTTTCCTTCTGGAACATATAGGCGTCCTTCAAAATATAATAGATTATTCTTGAACTCGAACTTAGAAGAATCATGAGACTTGGAAGAATTATTCTTGATATCATGAACAAGAGGGTCTGAGGACATACTGGACTGGATTTGCTTGAGAAAAGTTGAATCAACAGTCAGTGTTGATTTCACTGCTCGGAGATGAAATTGCTCCGGTTTCAAGAGGACCGTTCTTTGTTGCTCAAAAGCTGCATCTCCTTCTTTTGGTGCAAAATAAGAACGTCTAGACAGGGCATCGGACAAACCTTGTTGTTTTCCTCGCCGATAAGTGATAATGAAGTCGAATCTTGACAAAGACATACTCCAACGAGCTTGACGACGATTCAACACGCGTGCTGATATGAAATACTCGAGGTTCTTGTGATCTGTATACACAGTGACTGGACTAGAAGCACCTTCTAGATAATGACGCCATTCTTGAAAAGAATCCACGATTGCAAGAAGTTCTTTATCGTGGATCTCATAATTGATCTCGGCTGCTGAGAATTTTCTTGAATGAAAAGCTATCGGATGAAGTTTGTCATCTGTTCCCATTTGTGATAAAACTGCACCCAAGGCAAAATCCGATGCGTCTGTTTCCATAAAAAATACCTTGGAAAAGTCAACACGATATAAGATTGGTGCAGAGACAAACGATGTCTTCAAGGCTTCAATTGCTGCTTCCGCTTCTTGATTCCATTGGAATTTATCTTTACTAGTCAAGCGTGTAAGTGGAGCTGCAACTCGTGAGAAGTCTTTGATGAAGATCCGATAGTAATTGACAAATCCCAAGAAACATTGGACATCTCTTACAGTTTTTGGAATCTTCCAATCCATGATTGTTTGGACTTTCTTAGAATCCATCATAAGACCATCATTTGAAATGATGTATCCTAAAAAGTCAACTTGAGTAGTGTGAAATACACACTTTTCTATCTTGGCATACAATCCTGCATCTCTAAGTTTTTGTAATACTTGACGAACATGTATTTCATGTTCTTCAACATTCTTAGAATAAATCAGGATATCGTCTAGGTAGCAGATGACAAAATTGTCTAAGAATTCACGAAATACATCATTCATGAGATGTTGAAAAGCAGCTGGTGCATTCGTGAGTCCAAAAGGCATGACATTGTATTCAAAGTGTCCGTACCTGGTTCGAAACGCAGTCTTCCATTCATCTCCTTCTTTGATC